GGATAGGCATATAGATCAATGGAATAGAATTGACAGTCCACAAATAAAGTCTGTGACTATACATCTATGGTCATTTGATTTTTTTAACGAGGGAACTGAGACCAATGGAAAAAGAGTCTCCCCAACAAACAGTTCTGGGACAATTGGATATTCAAATGCAAACAGGGCCGGGCATGCTGGCTGATGCCTATAATCCCAGCACTTTGGGACACCAAGGCAGGTAGATTGCTTGTGCCCAGACCAGCCTGGGCAAAATGGCAAAACACTGTCTTAAAAAAAAAAAAAAAAAGCCAAGGGTGGTGCACACCTGTGGTCCCAGCTACTCAGGTGGGTGAGGTGGGAGCATCACCTGAGCCTGGGGAGGTCAAAGCTGCAATGAGCTGTGATCATGCCACTGCACTCCAGCCTAGGCAACAGAGTTGAGACCCTATCTCAAAACAAACAAAATGGCCAGGCATGGTGGCTCATGCCTGTAATCCCAGCACTTTGGGAGGTCGAGGCAGCTGGATCACCTGAGGTCAGGGGTTCAAAACCAGTCTGACCAACATGAAGAAACCTCGACTCCACTAAAAATACAAAATTAGCCAGGTGTGGTGGCGCGTGCCTGTAATCCCAGCACTTTGGGAGGCCAAAGCGGGCAGATCACCTGAGGTCGAGAGTTCGAAACCAGACTGACCAACATGGAGAAACCCCATCTCTACTAAAAATACAAAATTAGCCGGGCGTGGTGATGCATGCCTGTAATCCCAGTTATTCGGGAGGCTGAGGCAGGAGAATCGCTTGAACCTGGGAGGCAGAGGTTGCAGTAAGCCACGATCGAACCACTGCACTACAGTCTGGGCAACAAGAGTGAAACTCTGTCTCAAAAAACAAAACAAAACAAAACAAAAAAAACCAAAAAGCCAACAATGATTTGCAAAACAAATGCCAATGAATGAAGTTGGCTCCTTTACCTCACATTTATACACCATTTACAAGAACTGAAAAATAATCAAAGATCTAAGTTTAAGACCTAAAACCAGAAAATTCTCAGAATAAAACATAGGCAGGCCAGGCGCGGTGGCTCATGCCTGTAATCCTAGCACTTTGGGAGGCCGAGGTGTGTGGATCACTAAGTAGGAGTTCGAGACCAGCCTGGCCAACATGTGAAACCCTGTCTCTACTAAAAATACAAGAATTAGCTGAGCGTGGTGTCACATGCCTACAATCCCAGCTACTCGGGAGGCTGAAGCAGGAGAATCACTTGAACCTGGCAGGTGGAGGTTGCAGTGAGCCGAGATCACACCACTGCACCCCAGCCTGGACAACAAGAGTAAAACTCTGTCTCAAAAAAAAGAATATACACCAATTGCCAATAATAACGTGAAAAGATGCTTTAGTTTCATTAATCATTAGGTAAATGCAAATCAATATGAAAATGCAATGCCACTTCACACCCACTAGGATGGCTGTAATCTACAAGATGGACACTAGCAGGGGTGGGGGTGGTGGCTCACACCTGTAATCCCAGCACTTTGGGAGTTCAAGACGGGTGGATCACCTGAGGTCGGGAGTTTGAGACCAGCCTGACCAACATGGAGAAACCCCATTTCTACTAAAAATACAAAATTAGCCGGGCATGGTGGTGCATGCCTGGAATCCCAGCTACTCAGGAGGCTGAGACAGGAGAATCGCTTGAACCTGTGAGGCGGAGGTTGTGGTGAGCCGAGATCACGTCATTGCAGTCCAGCCTGGGTGACAAGAACAAAACTCCATCTCAAAAAAAAAAAAAAAAAAAAAGATGGACACTAGCAAGTGTTGGTAAGAACGTGGACATTGGAAGAAGCCAAAATATTTGTAAAAATATAAAATGATTAGTGGGGCATGGTGGTACACGCCTGTAATCCCAGCTACTCGGGAGGCTGTAGAAATTAAAAAGTTTCCTCTTCAAAAGTTCCCTTGTTAAAAAATATTTGAGACGGAGTCTCGCTCTGTCGCCCAGGCTGGAGTGCAGTGGTGCGATCTCAGCTCACTGCAAGCTCCGCCTCCCGGGTTCACGCCATTCTCCTGCCTCAGCCTCCCGAGTAGCTGGGACTACAGGCGCCCACAACCGCGCCCGGCTAATTTTTTGTATTTTTAGTAGAGACGGGGTTTCACCGTGGTCTCGATCTCCTGACCTTGTGATCCGCCCGCCTCGGCCTCCCAAAGTGCTGGGATTACAGGCGTGAGCCACCGCGCCCGGCAAGACTAACTTTCTTCAAGCCACCTTGCTTTGTGCTAATAACTCTTTGTTAAGCCCTATCCTATGTAGCTGTTTGATATAGAGGGATAAAGACATTCTATGTCCTTGTATTTTAACCAAGATACTTGTGTTAAACATGCTTCCAGGCACATGGTACATTCTATGTCCTTGTACTTTAACCAAGATGTTTGTGCTGGATGTGCTCACAGGCATGTCCCGGCTTGCGGTCTATGCTCCTTCCTTCCTTATTTGGGAGTATTATTACTTTTCTAAGTCCTTTAGTAAGCAACTTCCTCTTTTCCTCTGTTCTCCATTGCTTTTACTTATTTAAAAAAGTTTTTAAGCTGTTAGCCCATCGGGTTCAGTTTAGATTGTGAGATCTGGCTCCAGCCAGCGGAGACAGGACAGAGTAGCAGAGACAAGCTGCCTAAGAGATAAAAATTGCTTCCCTCCTTTATTCAGGTATGTTGTCACCCTTGTTCCATCTGCAAGAGGCACCCTTTCTGCAGAAAGTAAAATTGAGTTGCTGAGAGAACTTTTTGTCCGAATGCTGATCTTTCCTTATGGTACCAGGGAACAAGCATTCTGCTTCTAAACAAACATTTCACATAGAACAGAGGCTAAGCCTGGGGAATCACTTGAACTTGGGAGGTGGAGGTTGCAGTGAGCTGAGATCTCACCATAGCACCCAGCCTGGGCTACAGTGAGACTCTGTCAAAAAAAAAAAAAAAAAAAAAAAATCAGGGAGGGTGAAACATGGAGGCTGAGCCCATGTCATTACTGAAAAATCAGAACAGAAATCCTGCCTTCCTAACAAAGCCGCTCCCATGGTTCCCTTTCAACGCTCGCATAGGCAGGGAGGATTCTGCACAAACCACTCAGAACACAAGCGAGGTATCCTTTAGCTCTTCCCCCCACGTATGTATTTTCATGATTTGTGCTTTAAGTGACTGCCAAAGTCCTGTTAAAAAAACAATTGAGGCTGCCAGGTATGGTGGCTCATGCCTATAATCCCAGTACTTTGGGAGGCCTAGGTGGGTGGATCATCTGAGGTCAGGAGTTTGAGACCAGCCTGGACAACATGGTGAAACCCCATCTCTACTAAAAATAGTATTAGCCAGGCGTGGTGGTGCGCCTCTGTAATCCCACTACTTGGGAGGCTGAGGCAGGAGAATTGCTAGAACCAGGGAGGTAGACGTTGCAGTGAGCCGAGATTGCACCACTGTACTCCAGCCTGGGCTACAGTGCAAGACTCCATCTCAAAAACAACACAACTGAGGTCAAAGCCCAGCTAAAATGCCTGGAGGGTGACTTTGTATCAGATGTCATCTTACAAAGAGAACAGGAGACCACAACAGAGATTTCTTCTTGGAAAATAGGAGACTGACAGATGAATCTCCCTTGCTGATTTAGCAGACGAGGCCCCTGTGATGCCCACCTAGGAGGTGTTCCTAGGGCTACTGAGAGGTGGGTGAAACCAGCCAGGCTTGGGCGGGAACTGCAGGCATCCACCCAACCTCAGAGGTATTTGCTGGAGAAAGTGACTAGAGGCTCCAACCTCTGGGACAGGGGGCTGAAGACAGGCAAGTTAATCATGAGGCTACCAGTCACAGTGTGGTTCCTGATACCCCCCATCCCCACTGAGCCTCAAACAATGCTGGACACAGAGAACATAAGGCCACCCAGCAGGCGTGCGCTTCCTCTACAGAAAGTCTAGAAACTGCCTAGGTGCTCACCCTGGGAGCCCTCTGCCTGTTCCGCAACTGTGGAGCCCCATGAATAGACTAAACCCCAACACCAGGGGCCTCATGTCAAGGGGAACCTCCCGCAGAAAGACATGCCCCAGTGAAGAGGCAGTGGCCTAGAGTGGGGCACAGGGAGGGCACTCTCCTCGGGACCTCCCAGACAACAGGCCATTTGGGGACATTGTACTGAAAGGACCCAGGCCCTCAGTTGATTCTAAGATGCTGTGGCTTCTGCAGCCAGCACGGCTGATTCCCAAGGCACGTGCATGGTTGTGTGTGACTGTGGCACCTTTGCCTTCCTGTGACCAGAGGGCTCTCTAGTCGCAGCACCAAGGTCTCTGACATGGCCCTGGCATCACCAGAAGGCCACAGGTTTTTCCTTTCTTTCAGAACAGACGGTGGTCTTCCCAGTTCCTTTCAGAGTCCTGGTACGACAGCCTACTTCTCTCCTTGCTGGCCCATCAGTGCCCTCTCCCGTGGGGCTCTTGTCCCCATACCCCACCTGCTCCACTGTGTTGCCTGCCCGGCCCCTCGTGGGCATCTCACCTGGGCTGACTCAACTCCGAGGAAGCCAGGCCGGGTGCTCCTCCCTGCTCCATCCCAATCCCACACCAAGGTGCTGGCCTTCCCTGGGCCCCTGCCATGCCTCCTCTGCAGGGCTCCAGCTCCAGCCTCTTAGTCCTAGCAGTAAAGATGGTGTCAGGTGGTTTCTGGGTGCCTCAGCTCCTGTCAGGCCCTCAAACCATGGCCATGGTGTATTCTCCTTCCCAGCACCACTCCTGGCACAGTACCACACAGCAATGCACACAGCCCTCCGAGCCTGCATGGCACCCTCCAGGGCTGGGAGTGCACCTGAGGCTCACCTCCCAGGGCTGATGCAGCAGCAGAGCCCTAGCTGGCAGGAATGCTAACCAGTAAGTGGACTACAGCAGCCCTTGCCAGGGAGGAGGTGAGGGAATGCCAAACCCTGCAGGCAGAGGCTTCTCGCCCCCATGCCCTGGGGCCCTACATGGACAGGGGGCCAGGAGCTCAAATAGCTGCTGAAACAGACACTCGTTTATTTCCCCGGAAGGAGGCAGCATGGGGTCCTTGGGGAGTCTCTGTCCAGCTCAGACAGGCAGATCTCACTTCCAGAAGAGCACATTCCAGAAAAGTAGCCAGCAGGGGTAGAGGCCCAGAGACAGCAGTGGGAAGAGCAGGGCACCGTAGGTGTGGTGCTCCAGCACACCCTGGGCCAGCGCTGCCAGGAAGAGCTGCCAGCCCTCGGCCAGTGACAGTGGCGCCTCCTGAAGCTCCCGCCACAGGAACAGGCTGCCAAGGAGCGTGGCTGCTGGGCTTGTCAGCACCAGCAGGGCAGCATAGAGAGTCCTGGGTGGAGAAGCAACATCAGGGTAGGCTCCATGGTGGGGGCATGGACACCAAGTTGGGGGAAAGGGCTACTGAATGAGGGTATGGTCTGTGATGAGGGCACAGGCGTTGGGGGAAGTGGGGCTGATCCATACATACCGGGGCCCATGAGGCTTGGCAAGCGCAGCGGCGGGCACCATGGTGGTGGCCAGCAGGAAGCCCAGTGAGAAGTTGGTGAGCGCGATGCAGCCCAGCTGCAGTGCTAGGTAGATCAGGGCTACCAGCTTCAGTGCCATCCAGCCCCTGTCTGGGGCCTGTGTGCTTACAACCCTGCAAGACAAAGGGCTCAGAGACAACCCACAGACTGTCTGCATGTCCAGGGGACCTCTAACCCCACCCCCCAGCCAGCCCAGCCTCTCACCGGTGTGTGTTGTGGGGCAGGGCCAGGCCAGCCGCATAAATCGCCAGCAGCGTCAGCACCACAGCCTCAGCCTCTGCCACTGGGAAGTGCTGGGTGGCCACGTGTTGGCCCAGCACTGGCAGGACATAGAGGGCCAGTCCCATGGCCTGCGAGATCAGCAGAGGTGCCACGAGCGAGGCCAGCCCCACACCCTGCAGGGTACACAGGCTCTTGGAGATGGGCCCTGGGGCCAGGGGATCCCCAAAGACCACCACCATCCCACCAGCTGAGGCTAAGTTGCAACACTAAACACCAGTCAGACCCTGGAAGCCCACTCCAACAACAGAAGGGGATGCCATCACCTGTGATGGGGGAAGGGGGACACTGGGGCCAGGGGCCCCCCCGGGCTCCTCAAGGCCCACTTCGGCCTCATGCAGCTGCATCCACAGTTCCAGAGCGTAGCCCAATCAAGGACCCCAACAAGAGGTGTAATGGGATCTGCCTAGAGGGGGACCCAGGGCTTACCCCTGTACCCCACCCCCCATCAGAATGGAACACTCTCCCCAGCCTAGAGTTGAGGAGACTGGAGGCTGGTCACAAGTAGATGACAAGGGGCAGAGGATATCTTGAGACCAAGGACCAGGAGCAAGAAGCCGGCAGCGGGCATGTAGAGGCCGATGGAGACGAAGCGGGAGAGGGCGGGGAGCAAGTAGAGGAAGAAGGACTGGTGTAGGCGCTCCAGGAGGTGGTTGAGCTTGCGGAACATGCCCTCCAAAGCCCTGTCAGGTGTGGGGCAGGTTCATGGCTGGCCACAGCCACCAGGCCATCCCCCACTCCGCCCCAGCTGGACATCATCCTGGGCATGGAAAGGGGGGACCAGAGACTACTTACTTGCCCACTGCCACCAGGTCATACTTGTACTGGCGGAAGCTATTGATGCCCCGCAGGGTTAGGGCCTCCACACGGTAGCGCAGGAAGAGGCCATGGGAGCCGTGGGGGCGGCCGGAGGCCTGCCGCAGAACCATGAGCAGCAGTGTCTGCAGGCCCTGCAGCGGTCCATCCAATGACGTCCAGTCCTGAGGCTGCAGCTTTAGAGGTGCAGGACAGGATGAGACAGGCCCTCCCACAGACCCTGTGCCCTTCAGCCCTCAGGCAGGCAGGCAGCCCCACCTTGCCCTGAAGCGTGCACAACAGGCCCCCTTTCTGGCAGAAGGTCTGGAAGAGATTGAGCAGGTCAAGGTTGGGCAGCTGCCCATTGAGCCCCTCCACAGCCACATCGAGGCTGGTGACCACATCACTGCTCAGCTCCAGCGCCACGGCCGCCTGAATGGCCCCAGCTCGGCCCTGCAGGGGTGACGACTGCATGCCTGTAGGAGCAAGTGAATGAACGCTGATGGGGGATCTGGTGAGGGCAGTGAACCTGAGAGGCAGACCAAAGCATGCAGGACAAGAGAACCTACCAGTGACATTGACATCGTGGTAGGCTTCAAGCCAAGCCTCAGTGCCCAGAAGGTCATGTTCTGTTACCAGGAAGATGATATCTTTGGCCCAGTAAATCTGCCCTGGAGGCCAGAAGCAGGATCAGCAAGGTCTGGGGCACTGACCAAACCCCTCCATGGCCAGCAACCCTGAGCCTCACCCCGGAAGTGGGCAGCCAGTGCCAGCAGCAGCCCCACAGCCTGGCTGTTGGTAGAGTCTGAGCCACAGGGCACGGTGAGCACAAGCGACTCCGTGCTGGCAGCACGAGGGGCCCGCAGGATGCCGTATACGTTGGTGCCTGACACCATCTGTATGCAGTATGGGGGGGGGACCTCAGTGTAACTGTGGTAGGACGCTGAAGCCCCCCCCTTTTCTAGCCCTCCAATGCCCACCAGGGATTTCCCCTCCCACTGAGCTTCCTGGCCCCATGACACCCGCCAAGGTGATACCCAGCCCAGACCCCTCCCTCCAAGGTGCTTTCTGGGCCCAGGCACACCCCACTCCCCCAGTACATAGCGCTCGTGGGTCTCATCTGGGAAGGGCAGTTTCCGGGAGAAACTCTGCGTGTAGACCTCCAGCCCTACTGACCGCATCGTCCGTTCAAGCCAGGCCACTGGTAGAGCCCTGCAAACACGAAGGGAGCCTATGAGCAAAGCTCCCCGGCCTTAGCCACCACTGCTCGCCCCATACGCCCTGCTCTGCCGCTCACCCCGACTTCTTGCGGTGGGCAGCGAAGTCCCGTGCAAAAGCCCGGGCACGGTCTCCGCCCGCAAACTGCTCCTCCACCATGGTGGAGCCCATGGCGTTCTCCGACATGTAAGTGCGCTGGGTCAGCGGCGGGAAAACCAGCGCCAAGAACCAGGCGATGCCCGCCACGTAGCTCAGCACGCTGTGAGAGAGGACGGAGGGGCACCGGAGCGTCAGCGGGTCCTGAGACGCCGACCCGAGGCCACAGCCTCCGCACCCGGGGTCGATCGCGCGGGTCTGAGACCTAAACCCGGAGTCCTGGCATCGGGACGCCGGACCGGAGGGCTGAGCCTGGGCCTGATACCCTCAGTGCTTCCAGAGGGCAGCAGCGGAAGGGCGCGAGCAGCCGGAGGGGAGCGAGCAGCCGGAGCGGCTCCGGCCCTCGATGGGCACCGCGCAAGGGCCGCCGCCAGCGCGAGTTCCAGGGCTTTCGGGTCCCCGCCTCCCCGGGCCCTGTTCTCACCACAGCGGCGCGTTGAGGCGCAGCACGAGGCGGGCGAGCGCGCGCCGGCGAACGGGGTCCGACAGGAGGCCCATGGCGGGGCAGGGCGGCGCGGCGACGGACCCTCTGCCGTCTCCGGACCCTCTGCCGCCTCCAACTACCGCCGCGGTGCCCGCAGGCTGCTCCTGTCAGACCCGTGGACGGCGCTCGCCCGCACTTCCGGTCCCAGCGGCGCCCGCGACGGCGCGCATGTCCGGAGCACAGGACGCGCCCCCAACACCCCGTACTGCCGGCGGCGCGCAAGCCCAGACAGCGGCTGGCTGCAGGGTGGGCGGTGCTGGTGAAGCCGGAAGGACGCGAGCGGGTTGGGGAGTCCGCTAGGCGCTGCCCCCAGGAGAGTCGGACCCGCAGTGCACCGCCCCGGAGGGAGGCAGGTAGCCCTACAGTCGGAGGAGAGCAGAGAAGATGCCCGACAGCAGGCCGAGCTGGTCGGGGCAGCGAAATATCGCCCACTGGAAGGCCCGCAGGAGTCAGAGGTGATGAGCCGGGCAGTATCGCGGGAAACCCACCCCCGATATTCGACGTGGGTCCTTTTCTATTTTCCCTAAGTGGGGCTGGTCTGAGAAATAAAGGGAAAGAGTACAAAAGAGAGAAATTTTAAAGCTGGGTGTCCGGGGGAGACATCACATGTCGGCAGGTTCCGTGATGCCCCCCAGCCATAAAACCAGCAAGTTTTTATTAGCAATTTTCAAAAGGGAGGGAGTGTACGAATAGGGTGTGGGTCACAGAGATCACATGCTTCAAGGGCGACAAAAGATCACAAAGCAGAAGGCCATGGCGAAACTCGAATCACTAATGAATTTCCATGTCCGGCTGTGCACGCAGGGTTCAAGAGCGGAGAACCGGTCTGACTAGAATTCGCCAGGCTGGAACTTCCTAATCCTAGCGAGCCTGGGGGCGCTGCAGGACACTAGGGCACTTCATCCCCATCTACATCTGCATAAGGCAGACACCCCCAGAGCGGCCATTTCAGAGGCCTCCCCTAGGAATGCGTTCTTTTCCCCCAGGGCTGTTAATTATTAATATTCCTTACTGGGGAAAGAATTCAGCGATACTTCTCTTACCCGTTTTCAGTAACAAGAGAAATACGGCTCTGTCCTGCCTGGCCCACAGGCAGCCAGACTTTAAGGTTATCTCCCTTGTTCCCCAAGATCGCTGTTACCCTGTTCTTTTTTCAAGGTGCCCAGATTTCATATTGTTTAAACACACATGCATTAAACGAACAATCTGTGCAGTTAACGCAATCATCACAGGGTCATGAGCTGATATACATCCTCAGCTTATGAAGATGATGGGATTAAGAGATTAAAGACAGGCATAGGAAATCACAAGAGTATTGATTGGGGAAGGGATAAATGGCCATGAAATCTTTTTTTTTTTTGAGACGGAGTCTCACTCTGTCACCCAGGCTGGAGTGCAGTGGCGCAATCTCAGCTCACTGCAAGCTCCGCCTCCTGGGTTTACGCCATTCTCCTGCCTCAGCCTCCCGAGTAGCTGGGACTACAGGCACCCGCCACCTCGCCTGGCTAGTTTTTGTATTTTTTTTAAGTAGAGACGGGGTTTCACCGTGTTAGCCAGGATGGTCTCGATCTCCTGACCTCGTGATCCACCCGTCTTGGTCTCCCAAAGTGCTGGGATTACAGGCTTGAGCCACCGCGCCTGGCCGTCCATGAAATCTTTACAATTTATGTTCTGTCATGGCTTTAGCGGGTACCTCTGTTCGGGGTCCCTGACTTCCCACAACAGGGCAGGTGGGTGGAAAGCCGGCGGCGGTCAGAGAATGGATGCCAAGCGATACTGTCAATGACTCAGGACGTCCCAGTGGAGTCACAGCATGAGCCCAGCACCGAGGTTTTCTGAGTCAGATGACCGCAGAGATGCTGATAGCACTACTGGCCAAAATGGGCTTCACTAGAGCTGGGGTGTGTGCAGTATAAAGTAGGGGAGCATACTGTCCCTGTCCAGGCCAAGAGATCCTTGGAATATTAGGGGAGCAGCAGCCCCAGGGTCCACACTGCAGGAGCTGGTAGTCAGGGCTCCGGCAGGTCTGTGGGCCAGAGGTGAATGAAGGGGTAGTTTGCTCAAGAAGAGGATGCACTTTGGGAAGGTGAGGTGGGAGGATCCTTTGAGACCAGCCTGGACAACAAAATGAGACCCAGTCTCTACACACAAAAAAATTCTTTTTAAATTAGCCAGGTAGGTGGGACATGCCTGTAGTCTTAGTTCAGGAGGCCAAAGTGGGAGGATCACTTGAGCCTAGGAGATTGAGACTGCAGTGAGCCGTGATCACACCACTGCACTCCAGCCTGAGCACAGAGCAAGACTATGTCTCAACAAATAAATAGTGGTGGGCAGAGAGAAGGGTCAAAACTGAAGACTCCATGTGAGAACAATTTTTTTTTTTTTTTTTTTTGAGACAGAGTCTTGCTGTCATCCAGGCTGGAGTGCAGTGGTGCTATCTTGGCTAACTGTGACCTTCATCTCTGGTTCAAGTGATTCTCCTGCCCCAGCCTCCCTAGTAGCTGGGACTACAAGTACCACCACACTAATTTTTGTATTAGTAGAGATGGGGTTTCACCATGTTGGCCAGGCTGGTCTTGAACTCCTGACCTCAAGTGATCCATGAGAACAGGTAATTTTTGTACTTTTATTTTTTTTAGATGGAGTCTTGCTCTGTCGCCCAGGCTGCAGTGCAGTGGCACGATCTCGGCTCACTGCAACCTCCGCCTCCCCGGTTCAAGAGATTCTCCTGCCTCAGCCTCCTGAGTAACTCAGATTACAGGCATGTGCCACCACCCCCAGCTAATTTTGTATTTTTCGTAGAGACGGGGTTTCACCATGTTGGCCAGGATGGTCTCAAATTCCTGACCTGAAGCAATCCGCCTGCCTCAGCCTCTCAAAGTTCTGGGATTACAGGTGTGAGCCACCATGCCTGGCTGTTGTATTTTTTAGAGCCCAAGGTAAGCAGCAGGAAAAGCCCAAGGGGCTCCAGGCCATAGTCCAGAGGCCATGGGACATGGCCCCCACATCTCTAGGTTGGGTACTCAGAGCCAGCTGAGTTCTCCCTCAGCCCTTTGCTCAGGGCCCCGGATGTGCCAGAGTAAGGGTAACAGATTCCTCAGTCCAATGACCTGGCTCATCTTGCCAGGCCCTGCCTCCTGCTCAGCTGCCTTGAGTCCTTACTGGGACATGTTGCTTTTTCCACCCAGGACCTCCCCCACAGCAACCCCCTAATCCACTGTTCTCTTCAGGGTTTGAATTAGGCTACACAGAGATAGGCAGTTCATGTGTGGGCGAGGGGCCCTGGTCATCCCCAGGAGCCAGCACCAGACCAGGCTCTGCCAGGCTTCACATGGCTCTGAAGTGCTGTTGGGTGATTAACGTACAGTGAGGGTTGTGTGGGCAGAGGAGGGTTTTATTCTGGACATGGGTGGCTGGGTGGTCAGTCCCCCAGCAAGATAGAGGCCTCACGCACATGCTGCCTGACCACTCTGTCCAAGAGGGTGTGCACATCTCGAGCAGCCTGGGCAGCAGCCTCCAACACCCGCTCCAGGTGGTCCTCGTGCAGCCGGGCATCCATCTCAAGCAGCGCAATCTGTCCTGAGGCTGGCAGCAGGGCCAGGGCCAGCTGGGGGCCACCAGCTGCCTCCTCCACATGGCTGAGGTCCGCCAGGGCTGTGCCGTCCACAAAGCCAGCTGAGCACGCACACACAAAGTCTCTCATGGGTATCCCAGCATCCAGCACTGCCAGTGTGGCTGCATTCACACAAGCTGCATAGGTCCCACCATCTGCCTGTAGCACCTGCAGGGACCCCAGGGTGTGAGTCTATCAGACTCTCTCCCCAACCCCATCACACCCACCCCTCCCTGGATTGACGCTGCAGCCGGCTCACCTGCACATAGATATCAATCTGGGAACGTGGGTGCAGCTGTGTGAGGATGGCTGCCTCGAAAGTCTGGCGGAGCTGCAGGCCCATCTCACAGGACTTCCGGTCCCCATGTGGCCGTCGCTTGCGCTCACCTGTGCTGAAGGTCGCTGAACTATATTGACAGTTCACTAGGGCCCTGTCCGGCAGGGCTCGAGCCCGGGAACCCCGGATCTGGAAGAGGACGGACACATGAGCCAGGCCCACTCCTTCCAGCTCACACGCCACTGTCCTCTGTGGGTCTGCCTCTCCCTCCACTTTCAATGCCTCAGCAAGGGGCAACTACATTACCTCCAAAACAAAGCCCCCTGTTTTGCACTCTCTGTCTTGCATGTGTTGCCCTCTGGCATCTTTTAATTGGCTTCCTTGTGCCCATCCTTGCCCCATTCCCTGCCAACCCAAGTTTACAAACATCAAGGCTGATTCTGTCTCACCTTCACACTCAAATCCTAATTACCTTACAAAGGTTTCACATTACATATGATATAAAATCCCAAATCATTTCCCTGGTCTACAAAACCCTAATTCCTCACCTCCCCGGGAACTCTCAACCTTATTTAGAGTTATCCCCTCTTTCCCCACCAGCAGTCTTTCTGTTATGCATAAGTGCCTTGCTTGTTTTCACCACCGTGGTCTTCGCCCTCCTGGTTCCCTCCGCCTGGAAAGCAGAGCTCCTACCCTCATGCGCTAAACAAACACTCTTTCAATACCTTCACTGGCCAGGCACAGTTACAGCGCTGGAAACACAGCAATGAAACCAGAGAGTTTTATGTAGTTTCTGTCCTTAGGAAGCTTATGTTCTAGCGAGGAAACGGGAAAATGCTTAAGCAAAATAGGCATTTGAGATTGTAGATGCACAAAAGACAAGGGTTTATTGTAGGGAGAGAAGTACCGCATGGATAAAGCCGTCTGGGAAGGAGTGACGTCGGAGTAGAGCTGAGAGGAGAGGGAGCGAGTGGGGGAGTGCCTGGCACGTTGAAGAGCCGCAAAGAGGAGGGAGAGCGCAGGCACAGAGACCGATGAGAAAGGCAGGACCACCGCGCAGCACACTAAAGACTTGCATTTACTCCGAGTGAGATGCAGTGCTGAGCATCGGCTGTGTAGACTGAGGCGCGCCGGCCGCACCTCTCAAGTCCCCGAACCTGTGCTCAGCCCGGCTGCCCCGCAGATCCCGCGGTCACGCGATTCCCATCCCGCACGCCCACTCGCCTCGTGCGGGCCGTAGACCACCGCCAGCGCCTTGGTGTTGCCCTGCTCGATGTAGGCCGAGCCGTCAGCCTGCGCGAACACGCCCATCCGAGCCTGGATCTTGCGCAGCTCCCCGGCGCGCCGACCGTCCACCCGGTAGCCCTGGTCCGACAAGAGCTCCAGCCCCGCCATGCTGCCCGGCCGCCAGCTCCGCTCTCTGCCTAGTTCTCTGATTCGCGGGAGAACTACAGCGCCCTGCGGCTCCGACCTCCCCGAATCTACGGTTTCCGGCGGTCCGCTATCACTTCCGGTTCCGGGGAGCTACAGCTCCCCGCGGTCCCGACCTCCCTGGATCTACGGTTTCCGGCGGTCCGCTGTCACTTCCGGTCCCGGGGAACTGGAGTTCCTCGCGGCACCGACCTCCCTGGATCTACGGTTTCTGGCGGTTCGGCTTCACTTCTGTCTCCGGGGAACTGCGGTGGCGCTGTCGGGGAAGCAGCGGTTGAGCCCGCAGCCGTTCCCGGAGCTGTGCCACGGGTGCCAGGAGGTGGGCGCCCGCCGAAGGAGAAATTCCCGTCACGCCCTCGGGACCAGTGGTGCCCACATTCAGCCCTTCCCCGCGCCCCAAGTGTGGAAGTGGAAGGATGAACCCAGTGGGTTGCGACACTGACAGGAGAAGGCATTGAGCGGTCCTAGAAAAGTGACCAGGCTGGTGTCCGAGGATGGTCCACACCTGGCACCTCTCCAGTCCTCTCATGCCCTCCCTTTACACCGAGCTTCCACACTGCAGTCGAGTGGGCCTCCCTTTTCCTTTTGAGGTTGCAGATTTCCTCATCCTTTCCAGAGAGGGGTTGTGTGTCTGTTTATCTCTTGCCACTTAACCTCAGCGGCTTCAAATAGCAATCATTCTATTATTATGTCCTGCAGTCTTGGGTTATCTAGGCTCAGCTAGGTAGTTTGCACGTAGGCTCTCTCCTACAGTTGCTGCCAGATGGTGGCTGGGGCTGGAGCCATCCTAAAGCTTTCTCTTTCACATCTTTGGTGGCTGATGCTGGTGGCTAGCCAGGACCTCATCTGTGGCTGTCAGGCAGCACACCTACCTGTGGCTTCTCCATGCTTCCTTGCAATATGGCAGCTGGGTTCCAAGGGTAGCCTTCCAGGACAATGAGATGGACAACATGTGCATGATATTTTTAGAACCTAGCCTCAGAAGTCACATAGTGTCCCTCCTGCCAGACTCTGTGGGTCAAGGCAGTCAGACACATCTACCCAGGCTTAAGGGATGGGGACAGGGACCCCACCCTTCAGTGGGAGGAGTGTCAATATTAGACTGTAGGAACAGCAGGTGGGCTGGGGAAATGCAGTCTGCTGCAGGGGCCCAAGTTCAGCATCCCCTTAGAGGTGGTTATGCTCTCCTGAAAGACTGAGAGGCATGAGAATGAGTGAGCAAGCCACAGCCCTGCTGCTGCAGCTGGTATGAGGCCATGATAGGCCACTATCCTCTGCCACTGGCCACCACCGATTCCCCACCCTTGGCTCTGCAGCCAGACACTGCGTACTGTGGAGCAGCCCAGGCCCTTCTCCCCTTGCAGTCTGAGCTCTTCCTGTCCCTGTTCTTACTGGGTCATTTTGTTTGTTTGTTTTGTTTTTTTGAGATGGAGTCTCACTCTGTCACCCAGGCTGGAGTGCTGTGGCACAGTATCAGCGCACTGCTCCCTCCACCTCCTGGGTCCAAGTGATTCTTGTATCTCAGCCTCCCAAGTAGCTGGGAAGCTAGGATTACAGGCACCTGCCACTATGCCTGGGGAAGGTTTTTGGTTTTTTTTTTTTTTTTTTTTTTTGGAGACGGAGTCTCACTGTTACCCAGGCTGGAGTGCAGAGGCACGATCTCAGCTCACTGCAACCTCCAGCTCCTGGGTTCAAGCGATTCTCCTACCTCAGCCTCCCAAGTAGCTGGGATTACAGGCATGCGCCACCATGCACTGCTGACTTTTTTTTTGTAGTTTTAGTAGAGATGGGGTTTCACCATGTTGACCAGGCTGGTCTTGAACTCCTGACCTCAGGTGATCCACCTGCCTCGGCCTCCTGCCACTGCACCTGGCCATTACTGGGTCGTTGTTTCGACTGTCCACTGACAGTCCTTGCCACATGCAGGAAGACTAGACATCCAGGGAGCTCTGTGGACTGCCCACCCTAGTTGTGTAGCAGTGACCATAGCAACTCAGGAAAATGAGGACGATGTTGGTATTCAGCCTAAGTAGCCCAAAGCAGGCCAGTGATAGCTGCTACTTCAAGATCAGTGGAACCTTTGCTGTGTTCCCTGGTGGAAGTATTCGCCTTCAGGAACTAGGCCTCCAACCTGGCAGCATTCCAGGTTTAGGATTATGGGGCCACTGCTACCTCACACTTTTGGTTCTCTGATCCTCGTACTCCAGCTTTAGGGTACACACATGGGTCGATTCAAATTTTGGAGGCCTAAAGCTTATACAAATTCAGGGGCCGTGAGGAGTATCCTCAAGATCCCTCCGGAATAATCAGTTTGCTAGAAGGACTCACTATAGACTCACGGCTAAGATTATTACACAGAGAAGATAATAAGTCTGAATCAGCAAAGAGAAAAGGTGCATGGGATGAATTCCACAGGAAATCAGGCGTGAGCTGGCCAAGTGCTCTCCTGGTGGACTCCATAGCAAGAAGCTGGAGCTGTGTGTGTGAAATGCTGTCTGCCAGGGAAGCTTCTTAGACACTCAGCACCCTGGGGTTTTATGGAGGGAAGGTTACATACACAGTCTGTGCCAAGCATGTGCCCAAATTCCAGACCCCCAGAAGCAACACAGGCGTTCAGCATGAGCCATGTTTGTACAAACAGTCTAGGCACAGTGAGACACGCTTTCCAGAGAATGGAGGGAACCATCCCAAAACCCAAATTCCCAGACACCAACTCTTCAAGCTTGCCTGTGAAGAAGAGCTTCTCAGGCCTGCCGTTAACTCGTCTGCGCAGTCTTCTTTTGAAACATAAGACAGGCCGGGCGCGGTGGCTCAAGCCTGTAATCCCAGCACTTTGGGAGGCCGAGGTGGGTGGATCACGAGGTCAGGAGATCGAGACCATCCTGGCTAACATGGTGAAACCCCGTCTCTACTAAAAATACAAAAAACTAGCCGGGCCGTGGTGGCGGGCGCCTGTAGTCCAGCTACTTGGGAGGCTGAGGCGGGAGAATGGCGTGAACCCGGGAGGCGGAGCTTGCAGTGAGCCGAGATCACGCCACTGCACTCCAGCCTGGGAGACACAGCGAGACTCCGTCTCAAAAAAAAAAAAAAAAAAAAAAAAAAAAAAAAAAAAAAAAAAAATAAGACAAAATTATATATCCAAAACTAAGTGAATAGTGAGAAAAGAAGCCCCAACACAAACATTTTAAAAGTTGACAAATACTACAAACATCACAAAATGCAGAAAACCTACAGGTTTCCCCTACATTTCTTTGATGCATTCTCTGATGCTCTGTTAAGATGACAACACTTTTTTTTTTTTTTTTTTTGAGACGGAGTCTTGCTCTGTTCCCCAGGCTGGAGTGCAGTGGCACGATCTCGGCTCACTGCAAGCTCCGCCTCCGGGGTTCACACCATTCTCCTGCCTCAGCCTCCCAAGTAGCTGGGACTATAGGCACCCTTCACCATGCCTGGCTAACTTTTTGTTTTTTATTTTTAGTAGAGACGGGGTTTCACCGTGTTAGCCAGGGTGGTCTCAATCTCCTGACCTCATGATCTGCCCGCCTCGGCCTCCCAAAGTGCTGGGATTACAGGCTTGAGCCACCGTGCCCGGACGACAACACTTTTTATAATGTAACCTCCTATATGTAGAAAGAAGGTGGCAGATGCGGTGACTCGCGCCTGTAATCCCAACACTTTTGGGAGGCAGAGGCAGGTGGATCCCTTCAGTCTAGGAGTTCAAGATCAGCCTGGACAACATGGCAAAACCCCATCTCTACAAAAAATACAAAAAATTAGCTGGACATGGTGGTGCATACCTGTGGTCCCAGCTACTTGGGAGGCTGAGGTGGGAGGATCACTTCAGCTGGGGAGGTCAAGGCTGCAGTAAGCTGTGGTCCTACCACTGCACTCCAGCCTGGGCAACAGAATGAGATGCTGTCAAAACAAAAAACAAATAAACAAAAACCAAGAAAGAAAATGATTTAGTTTCTCCTCTCACATGTTTGATCAAAATTTAATTTTATTACTTATAGTTAAGTTGCTTTCAGGTAAAAGCTCCTTTGGGTAATATGTACATTTTTAGAATTGTCATTAAATTTGAGGAAATCGCTTATCAAATTTTTTCCACATGTGAGCCATAACATTTCAGGTGTTGGCTGGGTGAGGTAGCTCATGCCTGTAATCCCAACACTCTGGGAAACTGAGGCAGGAGGATCGCTTGAGGCCAGGTGTCCGAGACCAGCCTGGGCAGCATAGTGATACACTATCTCTACAAAAAAAAAAAAATTAAAAATTAGCTGGGCATGGTGGCACACGCCTGTAGTTCCAGCTACTTGAGAGACTGAGACGGGAGGTTGGCCTGAGCCGAGGGAGTTCAAAGCTGCTGTGAGCTATGATCGCTCCACTGCACTCCTGCCCGTACCACAGAGTGAGGCTCTGTCTCAAAAAACAAACAAAAAAACCCAGAACCCTCCCCCCAAATAAAAATGAATTTGAGTTTGGGTTTTCTTGCTTGTGACTACTCTTAGATCCTCTTTGAGTTGACACTTGGCCAGTGTCATCAGCTTGTTGTGTTAACATGGAGCCGAGGGAGATGGGTGTTTCTGGAAGCCATTTCTACACCCGAATGACTAGCGACAGCATAACTGTATCAGGAAGTGACTGTTCCCACCAAGCCCAAGCAAAACGTACCCTCGACTCAGCCTCCCAGGAGCTGGACCCCACAACGCCCCCTCCAGCTCTGTGCAGCAGGGGAGGGGGTAACTGATGGCAGGTTGCAGGGGGAAGAGACAGTTTTAGCTGGTTGTGGTTAAAATATCTCACTTTTACAAATTTTATGAAATATATGACTTGACTCTGTAAATAGTTTGCTGGGGCCCAAGCTGGGAAGGGGCTGTGGGACTGAGGATCCTGGAACGGATTCCCGAGATTCCTAGTGAACCTGTTTCTCGAGCTCCAACTCCTTAGGGCAGCACAGGCGCATCCCAGCAGAAGTGCCCCGCCCTGGAAGGGGCTGACATCCAGCTGGCAGCGGGGCAGGGCCTTCAGCAGACTGTGCCACTATTCTGTTGGGCCGAGAAGGGTTTGAGAGACCAGTGAGTCCCAGGGATGTGAGCTCATTGCCACACAGTAGGCACTAAGGTGGGTTGTTAGGATTTTTTTTTTTTTGAGATACAGTCTCACTCTGTCGCCCAGGCTAGAGTGCAACGGCGCGATCTGGGATCACTGCAACCTCCGCCTCCTGTGTTCAAGCGATTCTCATGTCTCAGCCTCCTGAGTATCTGGGATTACAGGCGCATGCCACCGTGCCTGGCTAATTTTTGTATTTTTAGTAGAGACAGGATTTCACCATGTGGACCAGGCTGGCCTCAAACTCCTGACCTAGTGATCTGCCTGCCTTGGCCTCCCAAAGTGGTAGGATTACAGGCGTGAGCCACTGCAGTGGGCCGGTCGTTAATATTTAGCATGGTCCAGTGGGAGGTAAGCTTGGGATAGAGGTGGAGGAGCTACAGGCAGGAAGAGCAAAGTTGGTTCAGAGTAGGTGTCGGTTCTGGGAAGAACAAATCGCTGCTCCTCCAGGGGAGGGGCCTGAGGTCTTTGTTGTTGTTGTTTTTTGAGACCCAGTCTCGTTCTGTTGCTCACGCTGGAGTGCAGTGGCGCGATCTCAACTCACTGCAACCTTCACCTCCTGGGTTCAACCGATTCTCCTGCC